AAATGTCTCCTGGGTGAGGAAAAATACATGCACACAGTTTTTTAACATTAATTGACAATAACAGAACAAAAAAACAGATATACATGCATACATTCATACATACTGTAGGTATATACGCAAAGACATATATACACACTCAGTGACCAGTCAGAATATATATATTGGTTTCATATGATCTGAGATGTCGGAGCTGTTCATAACCCTCAACATATATCAGCATGTTTTACAAGCCACCAGCTGATGCTGATGTTTGTCTGCTGTCTTTGCTCTGCAGCACATCCCCAGTCCAGCCAAGAAGATGCCTCGCATCCCTTCAACCACAGCTGGACCTGAGGCCGCCAGCAGCAACTGAGAGCCTGATGGTGTCCCCGCTCCAACAGCAGTGGAGACTATAACAGTTACACAAACCTAGAGCTCAAATGGACAATAAGAGAGTGCAGGATCACAATCTTTTAAACTTCAGAGGGAGGCAGTGGTGGGTTTTTAGAGATCCAGAGTCCTGCCTGCTCCACTCCCATCATCCCCTGCAGGTCAAAATATTCTGTCTGCCAACTTGGTTTTCCCTTCGTTTTTAGTTTATTATTTCAAATCTTACATTTGAATGTATTTTAGCATCTGCATTTGAGCAGAGTGAACATTTCCATTCACAAACACGAAGAAGAAGAAAGAAGAAATGGGGAAAAACACACACAAAAAAACAAGTGAAAGCTTCCTCCATCTCATCAGAGAAACAGAGTTAATGCCTCCACATGACAGCAGGTGACACGGCTCGTCTCCGCTCTGCTGTTTGTTTTCATTTAGTCTGTTTTATATTAAAATGTGACCTGTTTTTATTCCCGCCTGTCATCATGTGACCTCTCAAGCAACACATGAGGAGCCATGTCCTCTGAGATGAAAAATGATGTTTTAGATGCATATTTTAAAACTGGCATGAAACACAAAGACTTGGTGCTGCATGGTGAGTTGAGTTCATTTTTAAAATGTATTTCACAGCCGTGTAGGGTGGGGCAATATTGACCTAAAAATTTATATTGATAAATTGTGGCTTTTAGCCGATAACGATTGATATAACGATTATTAAAGTCCAATTGCACTTGTGTGGAGCCAACGTTGTGGCTTTGGACCACATTTTCTGGCTTTCCTTGTTTATGTTTGTGTTTCAGGAGGTTCACTGAGTTTATAGTGTTAGCGTTAGCTGCTCTGCCCTGCCTTCCAACATTGGCCTCACATATGTGTCTAATATTGAGAGTGTGTGGCACACACAAATATATCACACGGCAATAATTGCAGTAATTGCAAAGTGGCACATATTAATTGTTGAGGGTTTTACTGACGATTATTTGCACACGATTTTGCCCAACCCTACATCTGTGTCTAGAATCGGTTAAAAAAAATAATGGCATGAGAAACAACAATGTGATTAACTGGTTCGTTTGGCTCCACCTGAGCATTTTATATTTTTATTCAGGTTTTGTTCCAGACTGATTCAGCTCATACAGCTGTACAGGGCCAACAGCCAATCACACGTAAGGAAAGAGTTCATTACACTGGAGAACATCAAGCGTGAGAAAGAACTTAGAAAATATCAGTACACAACTGACATCTGGAGCAGAACTACTAACAAAGCAGTGATGTTAAGATGGGACTACACCTTTATTGTCAGCAAGAGATGGGGCTTCATATCAGATGTGTTTTAGTAAATCATCTTGAAGAAACGTTTCACTGTACATTTGTTTAGCTAGAACAAGTTAGTTCTGAACTGGAGGACCAAAAAGATAAATACAAAGTAAAGCGGTCATGTTAAAAGTTTGGTATTTCATTTACTCAAGGTCTGTCAGGCAGTATTTGGGGCCAAAAATGTCCACCTAACCAAGTTTTTTTTAAATCTTATATCAGCCAAAAAAGTCTTTTTGATCTTGTTTTGAGACTGATTTACTAAACAAGAACTGATTGTGTAAGATTAATAATCTTGTTTTCAGAATGTGTCAGATTATTTGTATTAGTCTGAAAATTTGACTCAAATTTAAGTAAAAAGTTTCTGCCAACGGAGTAAGAAATTTTTACTTGGTAAGATTCTTGAAATAAGAAAAAATTG